GAACCCGTGAGCTCAGGCAATCCACTCACCTCAGCCTCCCAAAGGCGCAGGATTACAGGCTGAGCCACCGAGCCCGGCTTTTTTTTTTTTTCACCAATACATCATTAGATGCAGGAGGCACCCTTATGGAAATTGGAACTGGCAACCAGTTCCTGATTCCTCATGTACAGTTCTTAATGAGTGTTGAGTAAACGTTTATTGATTAATTGAATTAATCAGAATTGACCTTAATACATATTGTGCCTTCAAAAACTTACTCTTGCCATATTGTGCCTTCAAAAACTTACTCTTGGTTCTCTAAGCAAAACTACTAAACTATTAAAACTAATTCCTCTTCTGTAGAAGGCAGGAATCAGGAGAGGCTGGAGGGACTGGAAATATCTTTTGGAGAAAGGAGGTGTTTCAGAGTCTTCTTGATTCACCCAATGTAGACGACTACATAAGGGAGTATCAATATGGTGATGCTGTAGCAATCTCTCAAATGACTGCTCCTCCTCTTACCCGTTGCGAGATCTTGGACAAATTCTAAATTTTGGTTTCCTCATCTATATAATGGGGATCATGATAGTACCAACTTGAGTCATTGTGAGAATTAGACAAGAAATGTAGATGGAATCCTTGGTACATTGGTTGGTACAGTGCTTGACAGGATGCAGAAAAGAAGTATGAACACTACTCTGCACAAAACCTTAATGGGCACTTAATTTAAAGCTGGGAGATGGGAATTGATGACTAAGAGATGTGGGAAAAGTTTGTTTGCCAGTGTTGCTTGGGAGCCTTGAGAATACCACTGCAGGGCATCTAAGCAGACTGCTCAAGCAGTGACATCTTCTGGACTACTCTCTGCCCTGGCTGTGTACATGACTGCCCAGGAGGCAACAGCTCTGAGCTGGGTGAACCTCAGTAGGGTCTCCAACTCTGGATCAAAGTGCTGCTCAGAACATTATCCTATGGCAAAGGCCAATCGCCTCAGTTCACTATTTTTTCTGAAGGCCTGGAGTTCTGTCCAAGTATATTGTCTGGAATGGCTCTTCCCTCTTTTCCATGGTGGGAAGGGTATTTGATACTGGGACTCAGTCATACAGGTATAGTGCAAAGTTATTCTGCTCCTTGGATGGACTTTTACAAACTTGTCTGTTGCTTTTTTATTGAGCCAATATTTTAAAGCTTCTCTTTTTCTATAAAAGTAAGATCATTCACAAAAAAGAAATTTGATTTGGGTCTGGCAGAACAATACAAGGAATGCTATTTGAGGCACACGGAAATGTATATGATCATTGTAGTCATTATTTATCTAATGACTATTATGTTATGTAAGGTTATAAACTTTTACACATGTTAACTTACTAAACCTTCACAGCAACTTTTAAAGATGGTTACCATGACCTCCCTCTCTTCCTCCTCCTCCTCCTCCTTCTATGAGACAATTGAGGCGTCAAGGTAAAGTAACTAGAGAGAGAATATTAAGTCAGAATACGAAAATGTGCAATCTGACACCAGAGCACTTGCTTTTGCCTGCTAGACTCTGTTGCCTTCTTAAAACTGCATGTCATCAATTGTCACACCTATTATTTCACATTTTAACATCTCTGAGATCAGAGTACATCTTATGGTGAATAGTGTGATGGTTGACTTTATGTGTCCACTTGGCTGGCCATTGGTGTGCAGATTAAACACTATTTCTGGTTGTGCTTGTGAAGACATTTCCAGATGAGATTAGCATTTGAATCTGTGGACTCAGATGATTGTCCTCTCCATGGTGGGTGGGTACCTTCCAATCTGTTGAGGTCCTGAGTAAGCCATTCCTCATAATAAATCCATCCATCTATCTATCTATCTATCTATCTATCTATCTATCTATCTATCTATCTATTAGCTTTCTATCCAGCTATCTCATATTTGTTCTGTCTCTTTGGAGAAAACTGACTAATACAAATTGTGTGTCACAATCATGGGTGACCAGGTGGCAGGTGTGACATAGTTGTCATTGTCCCTGTATGCCTAAATTCCATCAGAGTTAGTCCTGTTGTGGTCACTCAGATCAATTTATGAGCATTGTTGGTGACCTACAGGTTGAGTGTAATTGTAGCTTAAATGTCTATTAAAATACTACACTGTGGGGCAACCCCCTTGGATCCCCTTCCACTGTGGGAACTTTTCTGTTCTCTCAATAAATTCTGCTTTCTAAAATAAAATAAAAAAATACACTGTGAGCATTGAAATGCAAAAATGACTGTGAGTACAGAAAGGCCTGGAAACAGTAGAAAGTTAAACATTTGATATTAGTGAAAGAACTATTTATTGTTGGAGGAAAGACTGCAGTTGGAGAAAATATTTTCTTAGAAAGCAAGAACCAAGTGCTTTTTTACAGGACCTAAACAAGAAAGGCACCCACAGGCAAATGAAGTTGTTTGACATTTTGTAACTGAGATACATGAAACATTTTATCACATGCAAGGGCAGAGCAGCTGAAAGTAGAAGAAATTCCTATAGTTCCTTTAGAATAGATGAAGGAAATTTCAAAGCATTGGGACTTTAGAGGAGCCAATGTGTGCATCATTTGGTTCTACTCTTAAGACATGCAAGTATAGATTAAATGACTGAGATGTTTCCTTCCCAAGATTACATAAAATGATGATATATCTTAAAACAGATGGTGTTTCAGATTCAATGAAATGTGGTACCTGTTTGGCTTAATAGATATGGATAAGCAATATGATTAATAGATTTGATGCCTTATTCGGTAGGAGCCTGATAAACCTGGTCATGCCATAGGATTTGCAAAAGCTCAATGCCAAGTCTAAATAGATGCATACCAGAGGGGCCTGAGGGAAATCCCTTTAGCCCCTCAGAGAGTGGGCTTATGTGATTTTTTTCAACAGTAGGTTCATCAATTGAGTGAGCTATATACATGTTACTGATAATGGTAGGAACATTTTTAGCTTATGAATATTAAACATGATATCATCTCTGTGGGATTACAACAGTTCATAATTATGTCATTAATTAAATGTGTCTTCGATCACAATTTCTAAATAAGCTTAGCCTACCGCTGCATGTTTGCTTAAGTCCTAGCAAAACATTTTTTTTTTTTCTCTTTAAAGTGTCAGGCAGGTCCAATTTCAGGTTCAGGTGAGCAATGATCTGACAAGAACAGTTAGACAACTAGTCCACACAACAGTGCCTCTCTCAGGAGTGGGGTCTGAATCCTGGGCTGAGTTTTTTGCACAATCTACATCCTGGATCTCACAACAGACCTGGGAGGGAGCTGTGTTCCTTTGAAATACGGGCCCAGCAGGAGCCCCACAGCTGTGGGGAAGCCACACAGACAGCTCTCTCTCTCAACTCAAGCATCACTCCTCTGAAATGGTAGCACAGGTTGGTCCACACTGGAGACATATGCATGAGTGGGCCTTTTAGAGCACTAACCCCAGCTTCTTCACCCAAGTGCTAAGAAATTAAGCTTGAAGAGATCAACATACCTCAAACAACATAGCTGCTGATGGACTGGGACGAGAACTCAGGCCTCTTGAACCCCAATCAAGCTTCTTCTTTAACACTGAGTGTTAGTATGCTAACCTTTGCTCCTATGAAAACAAATGCCTCTGAATGAAAAAGTTTTAAGCCTTTTTGAGGGGGAGCTTAATGAGATTAGTTACTTCTTTCCATTTCCTCCAATTCTAGCCACCGCAGACTCTACTACACTCTCCCCCATTTTCATAACACTGTGCTTTGCCTGTGTTGTGTTATCAGCCTTTTCCCCCCTTTGTGTATCTAACAGACTCCTCCTATCTTTCAAGTACAACTCAACTGTCAGCTCTTCCTAGAAACCACTGAAACCCCGTGTCCTAGCCCCTGCCCAACCTCCAGGTGAACCAATCACTCTCTCACCTTTTATTCTCATGTGACTTTGCCTTTGCATAAATATTGATCAGAGCATCTCCTACTGTAAGTCCTTTAGCTTTGTTTGCACATGGCTGTCTCCCCTGCTCAAGGATAGTATTCCTGCTCTATGCATCACTAGGATGGACCTAGTGCTGGCATAAAACCACCCTGCTTCAGTGACCATTGGATGAATGAATAATGGGAGAATTAGATGAGAACAAGAAAGGTTCTAGGGAAATAAGACATAAAATATGTGCTAGGTGGTGATAGTTGAGAGTGAGAAAGGAGGAGGAAGAAAAGCTGGGTGAGATGGGACTGAAGCTGAAAGTGGGAAATGTCTCAGCTTGTTCTTAACCTGTCCCCAACTTCTGCCAGGATTAACTGTGAATGTACCCCATAGAAATTAGTGTGGAGGAAGTTTTAAAATTTAGATTAAATGAGTAGTTCTAGGTGAATAAATGTGAACAATAAGCCAGAATTTTCTTAGCATGTTAAAGGTGTGTTCATTGGAGATGAGAGAGCTAGGTAAAAGATTTTGAGGTTAAATTACATTCTTGTCTTCATTGAGTTATCTCAGTTTTTAAAAAAGAAATACAGGTAGTAAAAGGATGTTGTGTGTGTGTGTGTGTGTGTGTGTGTTTATAGGATAATTTTAGAAATGCAGGAGGGGAGAGAAAAATGGCACTGTTCAAATATAAGATGATAATATTTAAGATGAAGCACTGGAGAAGAATTTTGTTCCAAAAACAATGGCTAAATGACGGAAAGTTTTCATATACTTGACTTGCAGTAGGGCAGCAAGGCATTTATTTGTTGATCATTGTGAATAATTGCACCTTTGGCAGTCTCTGGAAAACCTTGATGATGTGCTATTTCTTAGCTGTGCCGGGCTTCTGTTGTGAAGGTCAGAAAAACATTGCTCAAAGAATGTGCTCAGAGCAAGTGGAAAGACCAGCTTGGAAAATGGAAGTGACACAATCTCTGATCTTGCCCCAGTTTTAAGCAATTTTGAAGTGAGCTTGCAATATGGTAATCAACCAGTAAAGCTTTAGGAGAGAGATTAAGAGAACACTAACATATTTGCTGAAAATAAAAAGACAAACACATTTGCTGTTGCCTTTTGAAATGCCACAAGTGTATTTTGTCTTGGAGATCAGTTTACATCAGTTCTTTAATCTTCATTTCTAGTTTTTCAGCATCAGCTCCACAAAATTCAAAAATCTGTTCACAAATACACAAAGTTGAAATAATTATTGGTCCAAGTACTGCAAAGCTATTGAGGCTTTGAGGAGTTTTGTTCCTGATTGTACTGTTAATCCTCCTTATTTCTATCATCTGCAAGACACTTTAAGTATAAATGGACATTAAACATATTAAATTCATAACATTTTAACATTCGGTGGTCTTCTAAAATTGTTTATGCTAATATTTTCCCAGATCTCTATAATTCTTCATAATATTCCTCTAATCTAAAGCATATAATAGTATTGGAAATTAAGAAACTCAATCATTGAAATTTATTTTTTTTGAGTCAGAATCTCTGTTGCCCAAGCTGGAGTGCAGTGGTATGCTCATGTCTACCGCAACCTTGACTTATTTGGCTCAGGCAATCTTCCCACCTCAACCTTCCAAGTAGCTGGAGCTACAGGTGTGTGCCAGCACGTCCAACTAATTTTTTGATTTATTATAGGAAGAAGCCTTGCCAAGTTGTCCAGGCTGGTCTTGAACCCTTGGGCTCAGACAATCCTCTTGCCTCCACCTCCCAAAGTGCTGGAATTACAGGTGTGAGCAACTGCACCCAGACTAATCACTGAAAATTTCTAAGAGCTTGTATGCATTGATATTGAGGGCTTGTTAATTCCTGCGGATGATCTTCTGAAATCAAATGGCTTGTGAGTTCCTATTCCCTAATTTCTGCCCAGGTGATAGTATTATAATTAATTGATTCTAAGAAACACATTTTCAAATGTTCACAGCTCTGAATCAGAATGCATTTCATAGTAGATGATGCATTATATTTTACTTGGAACACTTTATAGTAGCATATGAAATAATGATGCTTCTTTCATGAACATCTTCTGCCTGATGAAATATGGAAGTCAAAACCCCTTGATATTAATTATCACTTTAGTACTAGTACTAATTGTGTTTGGTGTTTGAAGAGAAGGAAGAGTGGAGGCTGGGATTGGGTGAAGATTTGAGTTTCCGGCAAATGTGGGTTAAGCCACCAGGAATGGTGATAGGACTTTGGGGCAGGGGTTAGAAAAGTCTAGAAATAGCTTCATTGCTCAGGGAGAAACCATCCTGACATCTAATGATCTGCTTCTCAAGGCAACAGGATTTTGTCATTCTATCTGTTCCTTCAAAGCAAACCCCAGCCGGGCTCGGTGGTTCAGCCTGTAATCCTGTGCCTTGGGAGGCTGAGATGAGTGGATTGCCTGAGCCCGTGGGTTCGAGACCCGCCTGGGCAACTTGGAGAGACCTCATCTCTACAATAAATCAAAAAATTAGCCGGGCATGGTAGCGCGCGCCTATAGTTCCAGCTACTTGGAAGACTGAGGCGGAAGGATTGCTGGAGCCCAGCAGGTCGAGGTTGCGGTGGCCAGGAGTGGCCCCATTGCACTCCAGTCTGGGCGACAGAGTGAGACTCCAACTCAAAAAAAAAAAAAAAAAAAAAGCAAACCCCGGACTTGACTCCATCTTGATCCCATTTCACTTACCCGCTTGCACTTGCTCACAGATCCACTTCTATAACAGCAAATTATTCTTTTGAGTCTTGAGAATAGGGTTACCTAAGTGTGGGTGCAGAATTTCATGATTTGTCTGAGTTGCCTGGTTTGCTACCATCTCCCCTATACACAGTCTTTTGGCCTTGGCCAGGGGAGGAGGAAGGTGTCAGAAAGAACCTGTAAAAATTTCTCTTTCCTAAGAGTAAGGCGACATCTGTATGGTGGCCCTGGAGTGTGATGGGAGCTTCATTATCCTTTGAGAGATCTGAGGCAAAAGCTGGTACCAAGACAAGAACTCCTGGTGGGAACAAAGTCAGGGTTTGGCTACCTGAATGACCAGACTTGACAGGAAGCAGGGGAAGGATGCTGCACTAAACTAAGTGGTCAGAGTGAGGAACCCATTGCCAGTAGGCTAGGAATCAAGGTGAGGCAAAAGAAGTCTTAAACAGTCCACAATAAGTCTGGAGGCTGGGGGAGAGGGACTTGCTTTCTAAACTTCTTTTGCTTGAAAGCATTAGGACTTCCTCAACAGTTCAATCTGGTCTTAAAGGAACTTTGTTCCTTGTCTCTAACCATTGTTGGGGCAGAGTGCAGGGTGCAAAAAGTTGTGGGTTCCACATCAGTTTTAGTCTGTTTTTCACACGAGAACTGGAAGGGTGGGCATCACTGTGTGGGAGCAGGGAGTCCCCTTTATCTTTCTCTTGTGACTTCTGTCCAAGATTCCTTCCTTCCATGTCTCTATCCTTTGTTCCTCTGCTTCAGGAGTAGCTTGACTCAAGTAAAGACTATCTGAGTGGCAGAGAGGCACTGACAAGGAAGGGGTGAGAAGTTCCCGAAATGTGTCTGTTCGCCATGACCACTGCCATGTCATTCCAGTCAACCTTCTGGACCCTCAGTGGTCTACAGAGAGATTTTTTTTTATCATTCTTATGGCAATAACCATAGCAGATCTGAATGTGCCTTCTTATCTTAGCCCTTCCCCCACTGCCTAAGGGCGGTGTGGAGTCAAAAAGAGCATTGGGGGTTCCTAAAGATGGGTTTCTCTTCTTGGAGGAAACTGCCCTCAAAGAGGGATGGTCCAGGCTCCAGAAATGTAAGAAATAAGAGGGCATATCCCTGAGGGGGAATTTCCAGGGAGGGGGATTTCCATGACCATGGGCTTATGACATGACTGTACTATGACATTTGCACAGCCACCAAGAGCAGCCAGAGCCACAAGTGCATTAAGGGCCTTGACCACTGTGGAGTCTGATTCTTCCTCCTTCTAGATACACTGAACCTAGCACAGGGCACTTTCACCTGAGCCAGGAAACAGAAGCTACATTTTAAAAATTCATATGCATTCAGAAAATTGCCTAAGTTGTAAGTATTCAGTGTGGAGAATTATTACAAAAAAAGCACATTGTGTAACCATACCTAGATCAAGATATAGAGCATTACCAGCACCTAGACACCTCCTCTTCTGTCATTGCCTTGTGCCCAAAGTCTGCCACTATTCTTCATGATAAATTAGTTTTCCCTGTTTTTGAACTTTTATAAATGGAGTTCTACAATATGTATTCTTTTGTGTCTGGCATCTTTCACTATCAGTATAGTGACATTACATTCACTTCTTACTTTTTTTTTAGTATTCTGTTGCATGAATATGGCATAATTTATTCATTTTAGCTATGGCAAATAGTGCTGCTAGGAATATTCTTGTCTATATCTTTGTGGGGACAGCTAAAGGGACACACACACACTCATTTCTGTTAATACTTAAGAGTGGGATTGTGGGGTTCAGCTTTAGTAGAAACTATACAATAGTTTTTGAAGTTATATTCATATATTTTTAAAGTATGCTCTGTCAGCAGAGAATGAATGCTCTGGTTGCTTCATATCCTTGACAACACTTGGTATTGCCAGTCTTTCACGTTAACCATTCTAGTGGCTTTAGGTAACATTAAATTTGCTACCTGATTCCATAAATTCCATATATTTTACCTTGGTCAGCTTTCACTTGGACTTTAGCAACAACCACATAACTCGTCTTTCCTTCTGTCCCAGTCTTGTACTCCTTAGATCCCTTCCTTCTTGTACCTAAAGCTCAAAACCACATATCCAGTCATGCTATCCTTCTTTGCAAGTGTCTTCAGTGTTTTCCCACCACCATGAAATCCAAGATTCTTCCAGATCTCCTTGACTTTGTCTTGTCTACCTCCCTATCACTCCCTGCCATAAACTCTGAACTCCAGCAACACTTTAGAGAGTTGGATTCATTATTCATTTAACCAATCCTTAATAAGTGCTTGCTAGGAGCCTGACTTAATTTGAACAAAATAGACACAATTCCCTGGTGGAGCTCATCTGCAATTAAAAAAAAAAAAATAATGTGAACTCCACCCCCCACCATTTACCCATCACCCAGAGGCAGTTTCAAAAAAAAAACCAACAACAAAAAACCTGCTAGTGATAATTTTATACTATTGTATTATTATTCAAATAATTCCTGACACTTCTCATGCTATTTTATGACACTGCTTCTTCTCATCTTTTCTGACTTGCTGATCAACCATTCTCCAAAATAATTTAACTTTAACTCATGAGACTTTCCCTGAACTTTTTCTCTGTGATGCCATGGTACTCTGTGCATTCCACTGTTAAATGACTGATTTTTGTCATGTGTCTTCCCCATTAGACCAAGGATAGAGACTGAACCTTAGTTTTTCCTCCATATTTTTAGTGTGTAGCTTAGAACCTTATGCAGGTATGCTAGGATGGTTTTAGACCTGACTTGAGGGCCTAATCTGATTTCTGTTTATTGAAGTATGAGTCCAAGACTCTGGGTAGTGCTAGACTAGGTATTAGCTAGTCAGGAACTAGGTATTATGTATCTTGTGCTTTCATTGCCAAGTTTGCCAAAGACAAATGTTGTGTTTATGTCTCCCTATCTAGGCTTGGGCTTTGCGTATAGGGGCTTAATAAATGGAGCTAGTGAATGAGGAACAGCTTACTCTTAAGAGTTTATTGTACAAGTAGCTTTCTTTTGAAAAGTTACATATGCAAGGTAACTAGCACATAATTTCTGCCCGAAGTATTTTCTTATTTTAATCAGATGCTGGGCCATGCCTTTCAAAGGCATGCTCCTCTCTGAAGCAATAGGAAGCAAGTTCACTTCTCTCTCTCAATGCCTTCATTTCTCATCGTTGCTGCCACCCTAGTAATGACTGCTAATGAAAATGATAAGCTCTCATTTGCTGAAACCAACGGGATGGAGAGTGGCTGTCCATGCATAACAGAATTATCTAGGCCCAATAATCAGTTTAAAATAGTTTATTGTGTATGTTTTCAAACATATACAAAAATAAAATTATAAAGTGAACCTTCCCTGCCCTGTCATTAGCCCATTACTTAGTTTCAACCAGAGGTAGGTTTCTCCCCCTTTCTTTCTTTCTTTTTTCCTTCCTTCCTCCCTCCTCCTCCTCCTCCTCCTCCTTCTTTTTAATGCCAATG